GCCCCCAGCCCCTCCTCCCTCAGACCCAGGAGCCCAGGCCCCCAGCCTCTCCTCCTTCAGACCCAGGGGTCCAGGCCCCCAGCCCCTCCTCCCTCAGACTCAGGAGTCCTGCCCCTAATTCCCTCCTCCCTCAGACTCAGGAGTCAGGACCCCCAGCCCCTCCTCCCTCAGACCCAGGAGTCCACACCCCCAGCCCCTTCCTCCCTCAGACCCAGGAGTCCACACCCCAGTCCCTCCTCCCCTCAAAGTCCCATGCAGCAGCCCACCCCCCTCCTCCGAGGGGGGCAACCTAGGCAGAGAGGTCCTCTGGTGTTCCTCCTCCCTCTCTTTTACAGAGACCCCTCTCCGTCTCCACTCCCCCCTTCAGGGTTGGGACCGAGGGCTGAGTCACAGGAAGCTCTGGGGCCCTGAGTCACCCCCACCCCCTGGCTCAGCCCCTCCCTGGGCTGGAGGGAGCTGGCTCTGGAGCTGTGTGTCCTACCGACTGACCCCCACATCCCAGAACTTCCGTTCGGAGGCAAGTGCCTTTCCCACTGTGACCCCATTGCTGCCCACCCTGTTCCTCTCCCATGGCCGCCTTCGCTCAGTTTTTCTCTCTTAGTTGTGGTCTCTTTGGAGACGAAATTTCTGTCTGCTCTAACTTCCATGTCCTGATCCGGGCGGCTGCTTTCCCTTCACCTCCATGTCTCCTCTCTCCACCTCTTTGATTTTTTTCAAATTCTCTCCCCCTCTCCGTCTCTCTCCCCGCCTGGCTGGACCCCTGGGGGTCTCTCTGATTGCTCCCCCCCTCCCATCATTTTTCACTAGGCCCCGCACTGAGAATCGGCAGCGCAGGGGCTGGGGCTGGAGGTCTCCGTTCCGAGGCCTCTGACTCGGGCAGCCGCAGCCTGTGTCTCTGGCCTCTTGCCCCTGAGTGGGGCTGGTGGAACCCAAAAGCGCAAGGCTGCCCCCAGCTGCGCTGGTGGATGGAAGAGAGGAACTGAGGCAGAGACTAGCATGGAGAGGTCCAGAGAGAGAGGCAGAACCAGAGACAGAGAGACAGAGGGAGGCCCAAAGGGAGGTCCGGAGGCAGGGAGACAGGGAGACAGAGAAACTGAGTCACAGGCAGAGACACAGAGATGGAGACAGAGGGATGGTGACAGGGAGAAAGCATGAAATAGAGAAACAGGGGGACACAAAGATGGAGACAGAGACAGAGATGCTAAGAGAGGCACAGAGACACAAAGAGGCTGAGAGACACAGAACCAGAGAGAGAGAAATGGCAACAGACACATGGATGCAGAGAGTCTGAGATACTGAGAGACAGACCTGGAAGAGACAGAGGTCGAGAAACAGGGGAGAGGACAGGAGAGACAGGGAAAGGCAGAAACAGAGTCTTCCAGAGCAGGAGAGACTGAGGGAGGAGCCCGAGGTAAGGCCCGAGAACCCGAGGGAGGAGGAGAGGTGCAGAGAGACCCATGCCTGGCCACAGGGGTGGCAGGTAGCAGGGGGGGGTCCCCCGGCTGCAGCTTCAAGAGTGCCCGGCGGCAGCATTTGCTCCCAACGGGCACGTGCATGGTGTCTGGGTGTGCGCGGGTGTGTCTCCAACACTCTCCCCACTCTCCCGCCACGTCTTACCCAGAGTGGGAATCACACATGTGCCATGGAGCAGGCGGAGCATCAGCACAAGTGGTGTTTTTGTCACTGGGCGTGTCTGTGTGTGCAGTTTGGTGTCTCCAGGTGTGTCTGCGTGGGTTGTGTTGGTGCGTTGACAGTCATGTCTGTGCGTGAGTGTCTCGTTTCCCTGTGGCTGGCGGGTCCATGTTCCTGCATGACAGATGACACGCAAGGGAGAAGGGTTGTGTCTGTGAGTTCCCTCTAGAGTGGGACCCACGGGGCCACCGGCTGTGTCTCGGAGGTCAATGTGTGCGAGGTGTTTTGTGTTACCAGGCCGGTGTCTCCCCAGGGTTTGGATCTGTTTCCCGACGTACGGGACACTGTATGTGCTGCTGCATGCAGTGACATTCCACGTTGCATGTCACTCTGGGAGTCGCGGTGCATCACCCTGCATTGCATTTGCTGTTCTGTATGTTACTGTGTCGTGTCTCTGTATGTGCATTGTGCGTGCAAAGGCGAGCTGTCATTCAGAGATGTGACCCTGTCTGTGTGTGACACCCAGGGGTGTGTCCACTTGGGGGGGGCTCTCCTTTCCCTGCCGAGAACACAGCCTGGGTGCCCACACTCAAGAGCATGCTGTGTTTGTGTGGCTGTGTATTACACCGCACTGGAGGGTGTTCCCCTGGGGTTGTGTGTGGTGTTGTTGCAGGCCTAGGTGTTGGCTGTGTCAGTGGGTCACACCTGATGTTTTATGTAATCCGTGGTGTTCAGAAAAGGTTGTGTTGGGAAAAACTGTGGCAGTGTGTTTTCTGTCATTCTGTGTTTGTGCATTACTCTGCATATGTTGTGTTTGTGTGTTGGAGTAGATGGTGTGCCGGGCCGTGGGTGGGTGTGGTTCGGATGTGATTTGTCAGTCAGAGATGTTATATTTGGGCATCAGGGTCCATGTAGCTTGAGCCCCTCCTCAACCCCTGGGGTACCATTCTGGGTCGTGTCCCTGGGATGCACCAAAATATATCAGAATGTCTTACTTTGTGCTGTTTGGGTTTCTGTATGTGTCGCTGTGCATTGTGGGTCTCTACACGTGTCCGTTCACACTGTTCCGACCATATGTTTGAATGGCTCTGGGTGCTGGGGCGTGTTGTATGTCATGGTGAGTCTATATGTGCTGCGAATCGTTCTCCGAGCATATATACTTGACTTGCCATGTGCCACAATGTGTCTCCGCGTGCATTTCTCTATGTGCTGGGTGCTTGAGGGCTGCCATGGTATGTCCCCAAACGTTGTGTGTCTGCACATGTCGGCTACCATTCCACGGGTGTATCACGTTTGGGACGCTGTTGGCGCCTGGTCCACACAGGTATGTTGAGTGTGGCATGTGGACGTCACTAAGTAGAATGTTGTGTGTCCGCGGAACCATTGGGATGTGTTGTGCTAACGTAGCAATAGAGTCTGGGGGTGGCTGTTTGTGCAAGAGGACGTTGTACCAGTTACAATTGCAGTTTTTGCACCTGTATGTGGACAGTTTGAGTGGTCATGGGCGCCACGGGGCACTGCCTGCCCTGCTGAGTGCCGGCGTGTGTCACACTGTCTGTGTGGTGTCTGGGTGTGGCTGTGGGTTGCAGAGCTCATCGGGAGTTGTGAGTCACTCACTGTAGGTTGTGTTGTGTGCCCCATGTGTGTTCGGTTCCGTCTCCGGCCGTGCTGTGTGTGAGGGTTTATCCCCCCCGGTGTCTTGTGGTGTCTGGGTGTGGCTGAGTTTAGGTGTGTGTTACAAAGCTCAGACCGTTGTGTGTGACGCAATCTATTGTGAGCCAGTATGTGTCTTTATCCACGTGGATGCACGCCTCTTCCTTGCTCTGCCCCAAGTCACACCCCAGTCCCTCCTTAGGCTGAGAAGGGAGGTTGGGGAGCCTCCCCTCTGCCCAAGGGCCACGCCAGCTCCTCCCTGCCCTGCCCAGCTGTCACCACCCCCAGAGGGCACAGACTCCTCTGTGCCTCAAAGCAAGAGCCCCAGAGTGAGGAGCAGAGCAGGCCTAGGACCTGCAAGCCACAGTGGCTGCCCTTTGTGTGCTGCGAGGTGGGGGACCCTGGGCAGGAAGCTGGCTGAGCCCCAAGACCGCAGGGGCCATGGGCGGGGAGCTGGTGCCAGGCCTGGGGGCCCTACAGAGGCGCAAGCGGCTGCTGGAGCAGGAGAAGTGGCTGGCTGGCTGGGCCCTAGCGCTGGCGGGAATTGGCATCGGACTCATGGTACTACATGCGGAGATGCTCTGGTTCGGAGGGTGCCCGGTGAGTGGAGCTCTTATCCTGGGCCATGGGAGGCTGGGGGCTGAGACTCCCGGGTCTGAGGGAGCAGGGGCTGGAGGTCTGGAGTCCTAAGTCTGAGGGGGGAGGACCTGGGGGCCTGAACCCCTAAATCTGAGGGAGGAGGAGCTAGGGGTCTAGACTCCTGGGTCTGAAGGAGGAGAGGGCTGAGGTTCTGGATTCCTGGGACCCAAGGGAGGTAAATGCTCAGGGCTCTCTCTGCAAAAGGAAAGGGACAGGGGTCACAGTGCCTCAGTCTTTGAAGGTTTGCAATGGGACAGCTGGAGGTCCGGGACCCCCTGTGGCTGATCAGACCCTCTAGTCTCCCAAGAACAGATCAGGGGAGAGGTAGCCTTGGGTTCAGTGAAGGGAGGGTGGGGAGAAAGATTAACTTCTTCCAAGTGGGCGGCAGCTCCTTGGTCCTTATCTAAACTCGGGTTTACCCAGTGCCTTAGCAGCGAAGGGCAGAGACCAAAAGAAACTGGCTGGGGTGGGGGTGGGAAATGGAAAACAACCCCCTGCCCCTCCCATGTCCATCATTCCCAGCCTCCCCAGGGTCTGCAAGCTATTTAGTCTGGGGCATAGTGGAGAAGTAGGTGTACAGTGGCTTCAACTCCTAGGTCCCAGGGGAGGGGGGTGGGAGCCCAGGCTCCTAGGTCTGAAGGAGGCTTAGAGTGTCTTTGGGGGGAAGGGGCGGGCCTGACTGAGGATAGTGTGAGTGGGGAGGAAAGTGACAGGTGGGGCCAGGACAGGTCTGAGCAGGCTCTCGGCACATTCCAGCCTCGGTCTGGGCAGCAATGGGGCAGATGGAGGACGGGGGTCAGAATCGGTGGATTAAGGACAGAACAGAATTGCTTAACCGGAAAGGAGGGGTTGGAGAACTGTCTAGGGTAAGGAATGTGGAATCGGGCTGGCTGGGGGGCGCTGACGTGAGGATTGAGTTGGGGGGCATTCCTGGAGGAGGGAAGCTCAGGCTTGGATTCGGGGACTGTGGAGGAGGAGGGCAGTTCCGAAGTGACCAGGGGCCACATGGAGGGTCAGGGCAGGCCGGCTTCCTCTGGCCGGGCAGCCGAGGCCAGGGCAGCAGGCACAGAGGGGGTGGGGCCGCCGAAGCCCATGCCAACAGGAAGCATGGCCAGGGCCTACCCGCCGCTCCCACGCTTCAGCACCCCGCCCAGCAGCGGAGGTGGGGACCTGAGCTCCTGGCAGATGGGAAGGGACGGGGGTCTTTCCTACCCCACTCCCTCTCTCCCCCTTCTCACCTCTCATTTCTTCCTTCCCTCTGGCATCTGCCAGGCTGCTGCCTCCAGCAGCTGGACTCTGGGGAAGCTGCTGCAGCTTTCTGAGCCTCAGTTTCCCCATCTGTAAACTGGGGGTGAGGGGTGAGATACGTGGCCCTAGGGGCCCTCCTCAGCCCCCTTTCTACTTGTGCCTCGACAACATCCATGCCTCCTCCCCACCTCCATCTCGGTCTTAGGAGCTCATTTTGCAGGGACCCAGACACCTGCTCCCCAGCGGGGAGGGGCTGGAGGGGAGGAAGGTGCCCAACTGCGGGGAGTGCAGGGGAAGAAGATGGAGATATCAGCAGGGGGAGGGGCGGAGAGAGACTGCGACTGAGAGACAGAGACACCGAGAGACAAAGGCGATGTGAGACAGAGACGATGCAGGAAGAGACAGAAGTACAGCCACAGAGAAAGAGCTCCCCAAGTTCAGATACACACAGAGAGATGGAAAGTCTGACAGAAACAGAGACCCTCAGACATAAATAGAGATCGAAACTGAAGCAACCCCAGAGACAGGGAAATTTCAGACTGAGTCAGGGATTTGGGGGAAGAGGAACCAGCCAAGTAGAGAGAAGTGGGGTGCAGCATGGGCAGGGGCTATGTCTGGTGGAGTGGAGTTTGGGACAAACTAAAGAAAGAGACAGGGAACTAGGGAGCCTTAGAAGGATGAAGGGGTAGGGGAGGGCTAAGAACAACAGCACCATTGTTCGGGGAGGGCTGGGGGGGCAGGCCCCCTGGGGCAGGAAACTGGCCCTCTTCCCCTGCACGGAGGTGGGGCCCTGGCCCTGCAGTGGGGAGCTGGCAGACATCTGTGGAGAAACAGGTGCTAAGCTCAGCATGGCAGCCCAGGTGGATCCTTTTCCCTGACAACACTCCTCACACAGGGACCCCACCCCACTCCTCCTGGGGAATCCATGAGTCCCAATCCCCCCTAAACCTCTCGTTCCAAAATTCTAGATCTCTCCAAGGTATTGCCACACAAAGAGAGGGAAAAAAAAATCTCTCCGTGGTTTTTGGAGGCCACATGCTTCCGGCCAGAGCTGCCCTGGGCTTAGAGCCAGGAGAGAGGGCAGGGGGAAGGAGATGCAGGGGCCAGGGCCCCTGAGGGACCAAGTGCCCTGGATGGGGTGGGGAGTGGGAGGCTGTCATTCACTCCCTGGGTATTGGGTGATCATTTCTAGGCTCCTTGGGGAATTGGGAAGGTGGTAGGACCTTCTAGGGCAGGTTGCTTTCTCAGGCTGGACCAGCTGTGTGGTCAGGGAAGGGAAGGGGAGCTTTCTAGAGGCCAGGTGTCTGTCTCTAGACCTCCCCACTCCCCCACCCCCTAACTGAGGAACATTTTTGGTGGGGAAGGGGTTGGGGGAATTAAAAAAGGGCTGTAGGTTGCAAGGTCTTCCCTCAGGTGTGGATCCTAGGAGAATGGCTGAGAAGGGTATATACTGGCGTCTGAGCCAGGGCTGTCAGTCTGGGAAGGAAGAGGGCACGCTCCCTGGGGACCAGATGATGGTTTTGAGAGTTCCCCCAAACTGAGACATCAGGTGGAATCAGGTTGGCGGTTGGTGGGGGGGGGGGCAGAGAATAGGCATAGGCAGGGAGGAATGGGTGGAAGAGGCCAGGAGATTGGGAATTGAGAAGGGATGGCATTATGGGAGGAAGGTGGAGGGAACTGACCAGTTGGGGACCTAGGATCTTACCCCTTTTTCTGTCCCTCCCAACAGTGGGCGCTCTACCTGTTCCTGGTTAAATGCATGATCAGCATTTCCACCTTCTTGCTCCTTTGTCTTATCGTGGCATTTCACGCCAAAGAGGTCCAGGTAGGGCAGGCCCCACCCCTGGCCCCTTCCTTGCTCCCCCCCAGCCCCCACCACTCCCTGTCAGCTCACACTTTCCACCCTCCTCCTCCTCCTGGTCTGAGTAATGAGGTTTCTCCACCCTGAGATTTGTCCACACCCTTACCCACCAAGATGAGAATAACCACAGACAGACAGGCTGAGCCTCCTGGAGCAACCCAGTCCCATGCTCCACCTGCAGCCCTGACTCCCCTTGCATGCCCATGGATGCTGAGAGCTCCCACCCCCAGGGAGCCTCACTCCAGGCCCAGCCCCCCAGACCTCTGTCCTCCATCCCTGAGGCCCCACCTATTCTAGTCCCAAGCAATCCGAAATCCAGGCTATGCACCTGAGGGTCCTTCCCTACTCCTGAGCTCCCCACCTCTGTGCCAATTACCCCCTATACCCCGGGGGGGGGGTCTTCCCACCCATTGCCCCTCTCCCATGTCATGTCCCACCCACTCAACTCTCCACCCGAGCTCTCCCCTCATCCCATCCCCCACATCCCTAGATCCTGTTGCTTTTACCCCTTCCCCCTTCCCATCCCCCAAAACCTTTGTATATAAAATGGGGGTTTATCCATCATGTGTAGTAATTCCCCCTGCGGTGCCTGCTCTGTAAAAAGTACATGATAGTAGTCATTGAAACAGTTAAGTGGCCTGGATCTGCAGCTCAGCTGTGCTGCTACCCCCGAGAGACCTGGGCCTCAAGTTTCTGCATCTGTAAAATGGGGGTAAAAAGGCTTTCAATTTCACTGTGTTCTGAGCATTCGCTGAGTCATAACATGCAAAGTAGATAGAGCAGTGCCTGGCCCGTTCAAAGTGCCCTGTAAATGTTCGCTATTGTCACTGCCATTGGTATATGCGGTTTTCAGTTAGTTACTACCCCTGCCCCCAGAAACAGGAGGCGATGGCTCTGTGCATCTGGACTATAAGCTCCGGGGAGGAAGGGCTTTCTGCTCTGTGCACCTGTATCTTCAATATATAGAACAATGTGGGGTACACAGTTAATTCTGGAAGTGGGCTGAGACTGAGCGGGAGGCGGTGAGGAAGGAAGTGGAGAGATGTCCTCCTCAAGGCCCTGCCCCACTCCTTCCCCACCCGCCCCCGGGGCCAGATGGGCGCGCCCCCGCTTATCTCCCGGCTCTGGCAGGCGGGCGGCTACCTGACCTTCGTGTGACCCCCCCCCCCCCCCCCTCTGTCCCCTCCCCGCAGTTGTTCATGACCGACAACGGGCTCCGGGACTGGCGCGTGGCGCTGACTGGGCGGCAGGCGGCGCAGATCGTGCTGGAGCTGGCCGTGTGCGGGCTGCACCCAGCGCCGGTGCGTGGTCCGCCGTGCGCCCAGGGTTTGGGGTCCCGGCCCATGGCGACGCAGTCCTGGCCGGGCTTCCTGGATGAGGGCGAGGCGCTGCTGTCGTTGGCCATGCTGCTGCGCCTCTACCTGGTGCCCCGCGCCGTCCTCCTGCGCAGCGGCGTCTTGCTCAACGCGTCCTACCGCAGCATCGGCGCCCTCAACCAGGTCCGCTTCCGCCACTGGTTCGTGGCCAAGCTGTACATGAACACGCACCCCGGCCGCCTGCTGCTCTGCCTCACGCTTGGCCTCTGGCTCACCACCGCCTGGGTGCTGTCGGTGGCCGAGAGGTGAGGGTGCTGGGGGTGAGCGGTGGGGGATCCCTAGAGCATCTGGAGGAGCCATTCACAGCCACAGCTGCCATGGGCAGTGGTACAGCTTGGGCCACTTTGGGGCAAATCAGAGGAGAAAGCTGCTTGTCCTCACTCGTCCACTAGGGTGGGAGGAACCAACGGGCCGGCTCTGCCCATCCTCCACCTGCTGCCTCCAGTCTCCCCAGACACACACAGACCCTAGCAAGCCCTTCCTTTCCTGCCTCCACACCTGTCCTGCCTCAGGTCTCGGAGCAACTGTTCAGTCTCTAAAGCCAGGTACTGGGGCTCAGCCAAAGGTTGCAACTGCCTCCTTGGAGGATGGTGACACCTTTTCTGAATTAGCACAGATGCCCTGTAGGTGCTCCCCATGATCCTGGGGCAGTGGTGATTTGGGGCTGCTCTGGAAGGGAACTTCCTGCAGGGAATGGATACGGGATTCCAGGCTGCCTGCTGGACAGACTGGAAGCTGGGCTTCAGGTTCTCTCTTACAGATAAAGTGATGGTAATCTTAGCCAGTGGGTCTTAAAGTGTGGTTCCAGGACTGGCAGCATCACCTGTGAACCTACTGCAAATCCAAATTCTCAGGTCCTACCCACACCTACCAAATCCAACACTCTGGCAGGTGGTGACCCAGCAATCTGTTTTAACAGGGGATTCTGACCCAGGCTCAAGTTTGGAAACCTCTGGTTTGGTACGTCTGGCAAAGGATTTTTTTTTTAAGATTTTATTTATTTATTTGACAGAGAGACACAGCTAGAGGGAACACAAGCGGGGGAGTGGGAGAGGGAGAAGCAGGCTTCCCTCCGAGCAGGGAGCCCGATGCAGGGCTTGATCCCAGGACTCTGAGATCATGACCTGAGCCGAAGGCAGATGCTTAACAACTGAGCCACCCAGGTGCCCCTGGCAAAGGATTCTTGAGGGGAAGTAGGGAATGACAAGAACTGGCTTTAGATCCTTCTTCTCTGACCCTCTGTTTCCTCATCTGTAAAAGGGGTGTCACATTTCACCATCTTTGAAGTCTCCACAGCAATTCTTATCTCTCATGATTTTAAACTCATTTATTTTGTAGGATCTGTTTTCCTCCCCCCATGTTTCTCATCTGAAAAATGGGAGGGTGGGCAGGGGGTCAAATTTCTAAACCCCAAGGCAGAAGTTCCTCAAACCTGAATGTACTTCTGGATGAGGGGAGCAGGGCCTAACAGTGCAAATTCAGTCCCCACCTCCAGATATTAGCAGAGTGGGTCTGACATGTCTGGGGCCTCATGAATGAAGCTTTCCCTGCTGACCCTGATGCAAGGGTCTGCGGGCTCAAGTTTAGAAACATGAGGATTTTCAGTCCCTTCCGTGGCTGTAACTAAATATCCCCTTCTATGAAGTGAGGGGAAGGGAGGGCAGGGTCTTGCCTTTTTAGTCTTGACAGGGCCACCTGTAGGCCATAGAGCATCTTTATGGACATCAGAAAAAAGCACCCCTGGCTGGCCTAATCAGTGGAGCGTGCGACTCTTGATCTCGGGGTTCTGAGTTTGAGCCCCACGTTGAGTGCAGAGATTACTTTAAAAAAATAATAGAATCTTAAAAAAAAAAAAAGACGAAGAGAAAAAGTCGCCCCTTCACTCTGGGTGGATACAGCTAAAATCAAACAGGCTTTGGAATTGGCTGGATCCAGGTTCAAATCCCACAGCCCAGCTCACACAGCTAAGAGGAAGCCAGGCAGGCCCTCCAAAGCCCAGAACCTACTTTTTCTCTGAGTGCTTCTGGGGACTATAGGTGTGTTAGGAAGGAGCGTATCAGACATCACAGGAACCCCTGGGGTGGGGTTTCAGGACTAACCCATCCTTCCCCACAGGCAGGCCGTTAATGCCACCGGACACCTTTCAGACACACTGTGGCTGATCCCTATCACATTCCTGACGATTGGCTATGGGGATGTGGTGCCAGGCACCATGTGGGGCAAGATTGTTTGTCTCTGCACTGGAGTCATGGTGAGTACAGCCCCCTCAGGGACCCTACCCCTACCCCCAATTGCTTATCCCCTGGGCCCAAAGAAATCATGGAGCCAACAAAGGCACTCAAGGCCACCACCCCCAAGAAACTTGGGTGTCTTGGTTTCCTTTCAAAATCCAGGAATCCATCCCCTAAGTCCTTGCTTTCTTTGGAACTTAGGACCCTAGACCCCACCATCCTCGGGAACACAGGCCCCTGACTTCCCACGCCCATTTCCTTCCAGAATCCAGGAATCCAGCCCTGAGCCTCATGAAGGCTCAGACATCCTGCCCCTCACCCCCCTGCCCTCCCAATCATCTAGGACACAAGCCCCTGGTTCCCCAGCTCTAGGCTCCTCCAGGACCCAGGAACCCAGTCTCCAGCCTCCATTAAGGCTTCATCAAAAGCATGCCTGTGGGGTCAGGCTGCCTGGCTTCAAATCCTGCATCTGCCACTTCCCAGCTAGGATCAAGCCTATAATCTCCCAGTTTCCACAGCTATAAAATGGGGATGCTGATACTAGTGTACTCCTCATGGAGTTTCTGAGATGAATTAAACCACGTAAAGGGTCTCAGCACCCAGCACATAGGAAATGCTCGGTAAATGGGTCAAGGGGTGGGGGTGGGGGGAGGGAAGGCTGTTATTTGTAACTGGCCCCAAGCATCCAGCTGCCCCTCCTTTATCTAGCTCATGTCAGGGATGAAGCAGAGGCTCCCCAGAGTCGGCCTCCTCCAGAATCCAGACTTCTACCACGTTCCCTTCATAGACCCAGGCATCCAGTTGCCCCTACCTAGCCCCTATCCTCTTCCAGGACCCCAGCACCCAAGGCCTTGGCCTTCACCTAGGCATGAGCTCTGGCTCCTCCCACCCTCAGGGACTCGGTCTGCCAGCCCCCAGCCCCGATGTTGTCGCAGAAAGGATACGCTACATTTCCACTGGTGATGCATGGGGTGATGGGGAAGTGTGATCCCCTCCCCTCAGAAGTGGGAAAAAGGGGCAGAGATTCAGCCAGGGAAACACTCCCGAAGGGTCAGGGACCCTCAGGGCTGCCTGGGACCTCCCCCCTCATTTGACACAAAGAGAAACAGATCAAGAGAGATCAGGCTATTTGCACTTGAGCTCACAGCCCACCTCCTGGCAGGGAGGTTCCCCCCACAATGGAATCATCATAACTAACTTTATTGAGTACATACTCTGTACCAGCTGCTGCTCTGAACACTTTCCGGGTGTTAGCTTAAGGAATCCACAGAGTACTACTGTGAGGGCATGCCCATTTTACATGGAAGAAAGTGAGACCCTGAGAGATTAAGTAACGTGCTCAGAGCTGGGCTTGGAACACGAGCGGTCCTGGAGCCAGCGTTTGTGACTAGTAAATTGTTTATAGAGTTTTCATGAGCTGAGACACAGCTTGGGAAAGGGGAACACTTCAGAAGAGAATTCACTGCAACTCAAGGAAGAGCAGCAGGTACCACCAAACAGCTGACGGATCAGAGGCCTAGGGAGAAGGGGAGAGTGTTCAGACCAAGATGCTCGGGCACGTGAGGCAGAATGAGGCCAGGCTGAGTTGTCTGGAGGAGAGGCCTAGAGCTCTGAAGGCTCTGAAAGCGAGGGTAAGAAGTTTGGGGCAGTGGGAGCCCAGATTAGGGTAAGGGGGCAGGGTCATAATTGTTAGATCTCCCTAGTGTCCAGGTCAGGAGAGGGGAAGGCTGGAGATGGTCCAGGAGGGAAGGGACAGGGCCAGAACTGGGCAGGAGCCATGGGGGTGGGAGGAAGGGGAAGGACACCTTTGGTGACCTGATGGCCAACTGAGTGTGAGCAGTGGGGAGGAAGGGCTCCCGCAGGAACCTGAGCTCTGCCTCTCACCCAGAATCAGCCCTTCTCCCCTTCTCCAATCACACCTTTAACGAAAGAGGGCATTCTGGTGGTATAAACACTACACGCACAAGTGGGACTCAGATACGTGACCTCTGATCCTAGCTCTACCCCTCGGGGCTGTGGAACCCCAGTTCCCCTCTCTGGGCCTGCTTGTCTGTCAACCAGGGGTGGTCTTGCCTGCCTTCTGTGGCTGTCGGGAGGGGTTGAGGGAGTCTGATGGCACAGGAGCCCCCCAGCCCTCCCGTCATAGTGTCTGCTGTGCCCACAGGGGGTCTGCTGCACAGCCCTGCTGGTGGCCGTGGTGGCCCGGAAGCTGGAGTTTAATAAGGCAGAGAAGCACGTGCACAACTTCATGATGGACATCCAGTACACCAAAGAGGTGAGAATGGGCATATGGCACCCAGAGCACATGCCTCCCTCAGACCCAGGAGTCCAGATGTTGTTCCCCTCGTCCCAGAGCCCTAGGGGTCTGCCTCCACTGACACTGTGCCCACCCCCAGATGAAGGAATCAGCTGCCCGAGTGCTGCAAGAGGCCTGGATGTTTTACAAACACACACGCAGGAAGGACCGTGGGGCCGCCCGCAAGCACCAGCGCAGGCTGCTGGCCGCCATCAACAGGTGAAGGCCTCTCTCTGTGCACATCTCCTCCTTTCTGCATGGTGCGTGTGAGCGAATGTGAGTGTGCGCCCAGGTCAGGACACCCGTGTTTGGGCTCACCGAACAGTGTCCACCCAGACCTCAGAGTGACTCTGTGATGGCTTGTCTTGCACATCTGTGTCTGTGGGTCCATGCCACTCTGTGTGGGGGTCAGGATACCCTAAGAGATGGGCTCAGGGGTGCTCTAGCTCTGGCAACTCTTCCTCCCCGGACCGCGTCTATGTGAGTCTCTCCTCTCCTTATCCCATCCCCGCGCTGGGGTCACTTCTGATCTCCGGCTTCTTCCCACAGGTTCCGCCAGGTGCGGCTGAAACACAGAAAGCTCCGGGAACAAGTGAACTCCATGGTGGACATCTCCAAGGTACCGGGGCCCTGTGGAAGGAGGGGTCTGGAAGAAAAGGGAGGTCGGGGCGGCTGGCAGGCACATCTGGCCCCAGCATAGCGACCACTGGCAGGGGTCTGGCGCACACACGCACTTGACAAAGGGTTGTGGTTGAATGAATGATGTGATGGTTTCTTAAACTCATGGAAGGGACTGATACCTTTTAAGCTTAAAAAAAAAAAAGAAAAATTGCACAAAGAACTCCAGTGTTTGGTTTTACATTATTTTTATTGTCAAGTTAATGCGGACGGATATAAAATTCCTTCTAGGGGCACCTGGGTGGCTCAGTCGTTAAGTGTCTGCCTTGGGCTCGGGTCATGGTCCCAGAGTCTAGGATCGAGCCCCACATCGGGCTCCCTGCTCGGCGGGAAGCCTGCTTCTCCCTCTCCCACTCCCCCTGCTTGTGTTCCCTCTCTCGCTGTGTCTCTGTGTCAAATAAATAAAATCTTTAAAAAAATAAATAAAATTCCTTCCAACTATGACTCTTAGACAACAATAAAACCAAAGCAAATATACAAAAACCAAGTTCAAACACAAATGGCAAAACCAATGAAACGCAAATTAACACCACCGATAGAGACAGGGCACGTTGTTTCAGTAAAAGTCAGTAAGAGGGGCCCAGAGCCACAGGGGCTTCTGTGCTGGGCAGGCTTGCCTGGCTGAGGCAGACTCGGCTTGCCCTTCTTTGGCTGGGACCACCTGACAGCCAGTGCTTGGGGATGGTGACGTCACATCCGTTCTCTTGGCTCACAGCACCTTTTGCTTATCAAGCAGCCTTTGCTTTTTCTCATTAGCCCAAGACAAATCAAAACAGTGGCCCTTGGCATCAATACCATGGCAAGCACAGTCACAGATGTGGGCCCCTAAACTGCATGGCAGGTCTCAGTGAGGAGGTGGTGGCCTAGATCTGCCAGAATTGGCAGGTCATAATTTCTGAAGATTATCCAGCCAAAAACTGAGAATTAAAGAATTCTCATAGGGGGCGCCTGGGTGGCTCAGTCGTTAAGCGTCTGCCTTCGGCCCAGGTCATGATCCCAGGGTCCTGGGATCGAGCCCCGCATCGGGCTCCCTGCTCAGCGGGAAGCCTGCTTCTCCCTCTCCCACTCCCCCTGCTTGTGTTCCCTCTCTCACTGTGTCTCTCTCTGTCAAATAAATAAATAAAATATTAAAAAATAAAATAAAGTAAAAAAAAAATAAAGAATTCTCATAGAAAGCCTCAGGGATGAAGCTGTGACTCCTAGTTTGAGAAGGTAACGAAAGGGCTATGTGGATTTTGAAGTCATTTATAAATTCCGCAAATACTAGGTGAGCACCTACCTTCTATGTACCAGGCTTTACTCTAGCTGCTGCCTTGGGCATGTCATTTAACTGCTCCAGGCCCGTTTCCATAGTTGTAAAAATGGGAATGGAATTCTCACTCCCCACGCTTTTAAGAGGATTTAAACCATGTGTGAAAAGCACCGAGCCAAGCAGCTGGGATAAGGAGGAAGACTACCTCAGCCTGCTGATACCTCCAACCTTCTCTCTGCCCAGATGCACATGATCCTGTGTGACTTGCAGCTGGGTCTGAGCAGCTCACATCAGGCCCTGGAGAAGCGGATGGATGCACTGGCAGGGAAGCTGGACACCCTGACTGAGCTGCTTAGCACTGCCCTGGGGTCGAGGCAGCTTCCAGAACCAAGCCAGGAGGCCACGTAGCTGGTGAGGCGGCTGGGACTCGGGCAGAAAAACATCCTGGAGAAAGGGTGCCTGTGGATAGCACCCCATGTGGCTAATGGGGGAGGGGATGGCCTTGGAGACAATGCTCCTCTTTCTCTTCTGCTCTGCCTGTCTGGAGGAAAGGACTAAGTTTGGGAATAGAATGGCAGGGGAGGAAGGAGACATTCCTTCTCCCCTTTGCTGATCCTCAATACCCTCTCCTTTTCTTTGTGTGGTCTGCCTGCCTGTCCCCGGACATGTTCCTAGTCTCTGTCCAAGTGCCCAGTCTCTTGGTGACAGGTACACCCATCCTCTTCCTTCCTCCTCGATCCACTGGTGTCTGTCTCCACCTCAGTGTCCCTGCTCTTACTCTCCCTCTGGTTTCTGGCCTATCTATCCATCTCTCTGCTTGTCTCCCCAGGACCCATGGAGGAAGAACCAAGCCACTTTCCCCAGGACTGAGGTGGAGGACGTTGTCCCTGCTACTCCTGACCCAGCCCTATGAATAAAGCACCTCAAGTGCAAGGACCAAAGGGGTCCCACCTTAGGGGGGGCTCACTCACTGATGGCTGCTGGAGGGGACACTGGCTCAAGGAGAAAGGCTGTGGCCACACACACACACCCAAACCTCTGCCCCAAATGGGAAAATGGTCACTACTACCCCATATACCCTGGACAAAACATCCTTACTATGCTGCTATGCATGACCTCCAGCTTTCAGTTAGAAGTGGAGGTGCCTGGGGGCTGACACTCCTGGGTCCCAGAGTCCAGGATCCTGGGGTGCCTTAGTTACCACTGGATAGCGGAGCTAAAGGAACCAGGCCTGAGGCTGAGAGGTGGCAGGAGGGAGCGCCCCCTGGCGGGAGAGCAAAGAGGACACAGTTTTCCAGAGCTGCAGAGACTATCTGGTGGGGAGAAGGTGGGGTGGGGGGGAGCACAGCTCACCAGTCTCTGCTCTTAACTTTGTAATAAATGTTCAACAAAGCCAGAAGAAGCTGCTGTTTCTTTCTAAACATATGTATATTCCCAACAGGCAGGTCATCAAGCGGAAGGCCCTTGTTCTGTCCACTTCCCAATCTACAAAGCAGAGGCCTCCTCTAAGTCCCCTCCCAGCTCTGTAGGCCAAGACGTCCTCAACAGCCCCCACATCCCCACAGATCTGAGGCTAAGAGCAAAGGCTTCAAATCCAGGGTTTGGTTCAGGGTCCAAAGCCTAGCTCTGCCATCCACTGGCTGTGTGACTTTGGGCAAGTGGCTTCACCTCTCTGAACACTTTACCTCACCTCTAAGATGGGTTCCCATGGAACTGCTGTGAAGACGGAAACTGTGGCACAGAGGATCGGGTATTTTGTAAGAACCAAACACACAAGAGATAGTTGATCATTTTTATTATTGCTATTGATTTTTAGACAATGCGTAGCGCTTTCTTCTGCTGCCCTTTCCCCCCGCTACTCATCTCACCAGAACCTAGATGACTACTCAGCAAGAACCCCAAACCAACCCACATACTCATTTCAATATGTGCTAAGACTTAGACAAGAAAAGGGAAAGGGCTGGGACTTCTGGAGGTCCTACTGTGTGCTCCTTTCTGTAAATCACCACAACCACTTCCTGCCCTGCTCCACCCCATTGTAAAGATGCAGAAACTGAGGTTTCAAGAGGAGCCAGGTCTAGAGGCTGGGAATCTGGCTGCAGGCTCAATTGACACCCTGCCCGCCCTGCGGCTAAGCCCTCCTTCTGCCCTGTCTGAGGTGAGTCAGAGGCAGAGTGGCCTTGGACCTCCAACCGAGGTTTCACTTCCCACAGCAGCTTCATTTTACTTGGAGAGGCTGATTCATCCTTGCTTCCTTTGGTTTGTGGGGAAGCCCGGGCTGCGAGTCATCCTTTTCTGCTGAGCTATCTTTGGATTTCCCTCCAAATCCACAGCTAGCCTCATGCTTCAGCCCTGAGAGCTAAACTGGGGCTTGTACCACCCACTGCCACAGACTGCCCTTCCTCTGGACACCAGCCCACCTGGGAGTAAAGGAGACAGGAACTAGATGGGATGTCTGATGACATTTCCAACACCCTCCCCCTGCAGGAAGCCCTCCTCACTGTGTTGCCAGACCCCCTACCAAACTCACTCCTCCTAGTCACACCCCACTGCCATTGGCACACTCCTTCAGGCCTCAGCTTGGATGTCCCCTTCTCTAGGAAGCCCTTTCTGAAGATCTCACAGCCACATGAATCTGTCTCTATCACAATATTTTTTTTTAAGATTTTATTTATTTATTTGACAGAGAGAGCACAAGCAGGAGGAGTGGCAGAGGGAGAGGGAGAAGCAGGCCCCCTACTGAGCAGGGAGCCCGACCAGGGGGCTTGATCCCAGTACCCTGGGATCAGGGCCTGAGCCGAGGGCAGACGCTTAACAGACTGAGCCGCCCAGGCGCCCCTCTATCACAATATTTTCTGAGCCCAGCACCATGCTAAGTCCTTCATAGATGAATGACCTCACAAAATCTCTAAAAAGGAGGCAAAGTGGGTATTGTGGGGTCCTATTTTATATACGAGGTAACTGAGGCAGAGAGAGATTTAAGAAACCTGCCCACAGTCACAGTAGAGATGGGGGAGCTGGGATCTGACCCAGGCAGCCTGGCTCCAGAGCCCCCCACTTAGCCAACAGGCCCATCCAGAAACTCAGAGATGACTGCACCATATTTTCATGTTTGTTCTCTACTGTGTCTTCAATGTCAAGGGCTGGCATATGCAGGGCCTCAGTGAAGATCACTGAATGAAAACACCGAATACCTGGGGTGGCCCAAACTCCACACCTTTTATCACAGTGGTTTCTGTGAGACAAGGTAGGAACTGGGTAGAAGGGGCTCTTCACTAAGAAACTAAGAGAACACATGAGAGATCTCTTGCTCTGAAGTATCTTGCCCCCGCCTACCCGCACCCATTCCCCCAGGTGGGGCATCGGTCTTGAGACCCCGCCTTCCAGCAGTTTCTGCACTTCCCCTCACAAAATCAGCACTTCCTGAAGGCCCTGCACCAGGGGCTAGGGCTGTAGGCATGAATCAGAGAGCTCTGTCAGGGGGTGTCTCACAGTGCTTTGGGCTTCTTCGCTCCCCTGCTTCTTTTGCCCCCACTCCCACGAGAGGACTGGACGGGGAAAAGAGGGCCCGGAGTGGGGCTCGGGTGGGGGCTTATCAGGGTTAAAGAGCTAGTGAGGAACCGAGGCTGAGGCAGACCCTGGCCTCTCTCATGCACCCGCCTCCCCACACGCCAAGGACTCTCTCAACATTCAAATACGACTGGGTCTGGCCCTGGCCCAAAACTCTTCTGGGGCTCCCACCTGCCCTTCTGTCAAAGTCTAGCTCCTTAGCTCAGCTCATTTTTTTTTTAAACAAGAACCATTTTACATAAAGCACGCACATTTTAAATGCAGTCTTAATGAATTTTTACGAATCTATTCACCTCAGCAGCCACCACACAGATCAAGCTAGAAGTTTCCAGCCCCTTCAAAGCTCTCATGTCCCTCCCTACCCTCCTCCATCCTCAGTAACCACCATCCTGAGCTCTTCTGCCCAACTCTGAACCCTGCTCTATATGCTAGCGCGTGCTGGCTTCTTGGGCTCCACACAGGGACCACGAGATCCATCCAGGCCGCTCACTCTTTTTCACTGCAGAATAGCATTCCATTGTGTTACTACACCCATGGGTCTTGCCTGGGGGTGCTCTTCAGGCTCTGGCCCCATCCCTCCTCCAGCCTCCTCCGATCCCATCCTGGCTGCTAATGATTCTGCATCCAATTCCAGTGTGTGGGTTTTCCCCCCCAGCACCAAGCAATTCTCAGACGCTGGCTGGGTGCCCTACACTTCAACTCAATTCCACACTGTCTACCTGGAGACAGTCAGATTCCACAGATTAAGAGCTCAATCCTAAAAGACTGCGCACACACACACACCCGCCCCCCGCCAACCTTCAGACGCCAGTGGCAAGTCTTGGTTGACACCTGTGTTTCTGACCAACCAGCTACAGATCACAGGTTCCAACGAATTCCCCCTTGGTTTGGATTAATTTGTTAGAGCGGCTCACAGAACTCAGAGAAACACAGAAACATTTTACTTACTGGATTCCTCGTATATCATATATCAGTAATTATTATAAACCAGGATAAAACTCAGGAAGAGCCAGATGGAAGGGACACCCAGCTAAGGTATGGGGACGGGTGGGAGCTACCAGACTCTCCAGGGGCACTGCTCTCCCCCCATCTCCACATGCCCACCAACCTGGAAGCTCTCGCAACCCTGTCCTTTTGGTGTTTTTTGTTTTGTTTTTTTTTGTCCTTTTGGGTTTTGATGGAAGCTTCATTACGTAGTCATCATTAATTAAATTATTGGCCACTGGCAACTGCTCCAACCCCCTTCTCCCTTCCCCGAAGGCCAAGGGTTAGACCTGAGATTCTAACCTCTAATCACAAGGTTGGGTCCCTGGCAATAAGCCCCCAGCCCTAGGTTACCTACATACTTTCCAAAAGCCGCCTCATTAACATCACAAAAGACACAGCTACCACTCTCACCACAGAAAATCCCAATGGTTTTAGGTGCTATGAGCCAGAAATGGGGCAAATACCAAATATATTATAATAAATCATGGGGTCCCAGCTGCTCCTGCCAGGGGGCTCCTCTTCCCCAACACGCCTTGTTTTCCCCGCCCACCACTGTCCTCTCCCTCTTGCCGCATCCACTTAGAACAAACATCGCCAGCATTTACCCAGTTCTTCATCACGTTCATAAAGGAAACCCTACCATTTACATCAGCACCAGACTGTAGACCTATCTTGAGCTTTTCTGCTGTGTGGAATAGCTGCCAACACAGCGGACACAAGAGTGGTTTTTACAATTTGGAGGGGATGTCGGATGGCACAGCTTTCCTTTCTTTTACCAGGGTGAACAGGCCCCTTGTCAAGTCCAATTCCTCTCTCCACCTGTCCTCTGTCAGCAACCCTCCCTTACCTCTTTCAGGACCCGGTTCCGAAGCATATGAACATAATGAAACCTCTCGCTCCTTAAAAACACCCCACTAGCACTTCAAGCACCTTAGATCCTGCATTGTGTTTAAAGTTCACTATGTGCTCACCAAACTGCAAAACATCTGGAATTCAGAGTTTAGATATTGTAAAATAACCAGGATGTAGAAATCCTTAAAAGCAAGTTCTTACAGAGCCACTCCCCGTTTCATACAACAACATGGAAGATTCTCACAGACATAAAGAGCAAAAGAAACCAGACGCACAGGAGACCTGCTGTAAGATTTCATTTATACGAAGTTCAAGAGCAGCCACAACTTGTCTATGACTGGAGTCAGATCAATGTGGGGTGGGGGAACTGACAGGAAAACAGCACCAAACAAATTTCTGGGGTGCTGCAAATGATTTCTATCCTGACCTGGTTAGTAGTTCCAGCAGTACATAGATTTGTAAAAATTCACTGACCTGTACCCTTAAGGTCTGTGCCCTTTATGCACTTTACCACACTTAAGCTCCATCTCACCAAAAAAGGGTTGAAGAAAAATACCTGTAAACGTTTCCTCACAGAATCTGAATTACGATATTGTGAAGTTAGACTGGGGGATAATAAGAAAGCCATGTTTTTTCTTTTTTTAAATAAATATTTATTTATTTACTTACTTGACAGAGACGCAGAATGAGAGAGCAAAAGTGGGGGGGGCAGAGGAAGAGGGAGCAGCAGACTCCACCCCCCACCCCCCGAGGGGAGCCAGGAACCTGGGATCACGACCTGAGCTGAAGGCAGACGCTTAACTGACTGAGCCACCCAGATGTCCCAAAAGCCATGTTTTCTTCATGGTGGACCCCACACCTACCTCTAACAACTTCCCCGGACCTCTGGTCCCCAGCTGATCACCATCTCTTTGGAACTCTTTGTTCCCTTGGCTCCAGGTCACCTCCTCTGCCGATGTTCCTACTCTCTGTCTGCCCCTTTCTGGG